TTTCATATGCAGACTCTAATTTTAGATATGTATATGCATGTATGCATTTGTGTGTGTGCGTGTGTGTGTGTGTGTGTGTGTGTGTGTGTGTGTGTGTGTGTGCGTGCGCGAGCGCGTGTGCCATATGGTATAGAAGAAACTCAAAAGTAATAGAACTGATATTATCAGATTTTCCTTTTTAAGTTTTATTTTTATTTTCTGTGTATGGGTGCTTTGTCTGTGTGCCACATGTGTGCCTGGTACCAATAGAAGCCAGAAGAAGGCATCAGATCCTCTAGAACTGGAATGACAGATGGTTGTGAGCCACCGTGTACATCCTGAGCATCAAATATAGGTCCTCTGGAAGAGCAGCCTTGCCTCTTTTTTTTTTTTTTTTTTTTTAAATGATTGTATTTTTTAATTTTTTTTCTTATTTTACATATCTATCCCAGTTCCCTCTACCTCCCTCCCTCTCATGACCCCCCCTCCACTCCACAGGGAGGGTGAAGCCTTCCAGGAGGGATCAACAAAATCTGTCAAGTCATTTAGAGTAGGGACTAGGCCCTCCCTCCTGCCTCTAGGTGCTCCCAAAGTCCTTTTGCAGCCTTGCCTCTTAACCACTGAGCCATCGTCATTAATAGATTTTCTTAGGAGACACTATATCACATGAAGTAGAATATAACTAAGGGAATATTGCCCCCTCCCCCAAAGAGGAGCAGTCTGCTAATCAGGCCTGTTAGAGATAAGTGAAATTTAGGATGCTGTAGTGAGATATTCACCTTGTCCGCACCTGTGGGGGTGGAGGCAGGGCTGGAAGTTACCTGGGGGAACTCAGTCTGAGGAGGGGGATCGGAGAGCTCTCTTGCTTGAAGCACAGGGACAGGGGTACATCCAGAGGCATCCTTGGGACCAGGAACCTGCTGGTGTTGATCTATGTTGTAAGTTATTTCTCCCTGAATAAACATCTATTTGTCCTATTTGTTTCTCCTGATCCTCATTAAACATCAATAGGATGCTAGGAATCACCAGGACTGAGGACTGACCAGCCATTAGGCCCATCCCCAGAGAACATGCCTCTAACAAGCAGCTCAAAGGGGGTAGTGCAGGAACACAGCCTGCAACAAAGCCCCCAGTTCTCTTCCTAGGAAAAGCATACTTCTACCAAATGAGCACAATGATTCTGAGTAACAATTTTTTGAAAAGAACCATACTGTGTCAATCTCCCATCTGCCCAAGTGGCCAGACTTACACTCTTCTATCTCTGTTTAAATTGTTCAAACTGTAATCTGGGGCTGGGACCTTAAAGAGATTTAAGACTAATAGTATATGTGGAATCTATAAGCCAAGGTATACACATTAGTCATAATCATCTATCTGAGCCTGCCTTTTCTTGGGTATCAGCCACCACCAGCCACATGTTTACCCCAACCCCACTACTGCAAAGAGCTTTTCCTTTATTACTAAGTGTGGAGAGTTATTTTTCACTGAGAAGGCATACTGTTCCCATCACACACATATGAAAGTAGAAAGGGGAGGGAAGAACACAGAGAATAATGGATTGAGAGGAATGGAACTTTGCAGTAACAGAGAACTATGAATTGCCTCTGTACAACCAGTTCAGAAGAGCCAGTACAGAAAACAGTGGACTTTGCCTAGAGAGACATGAGAGGAGATTCAAAAAATCACAAAGATAGCATTAGGTCACCAAAAAAGTACAAAGCAGCAGAAGGAAGGCAGGCACTGAGAGAGGAGGCAGAAGTCCCACTCAAAAAGGTAAACCAGCAGTCCTGGTGAGGAGGCTTTCCGTCACACCCACAGGACAAGCCCACAGCTCACATAAGCTCAAATCCAGTAGTAGTTTTACTGAGACAGTGAGTCCTCCATCAGATGGGTCAACACTGAAGGGGTTTTCACTTAAAGATTGGGAAGGAAGTTTCTGGACGCCATCTTGAGAGGGAACCTCTGTTTAAAACTAACCTACAGGGAGAAAAGGGAACAACCACTACTCCAGGAGACTGAATTATATTTCCCACAGTCCCAGAGTGCACAGGAAAGCAACTGTGGAGAATTGGGGTAGGGTGGAGGGGTAGAATTTCCCAGAAAACTAAAAAGTAAAACAGCAAGAAGCTTAGATCAGGCAGAGCAGCACATAGCCCTGCCTTTGATGGCCAGAAGATCTCACAGATAAACAGTGGAGTTTAATATTCCTATCTAAAACCAGATAAGAACCACAGAAAATTATTGACCAATTTCTCCAATGAACATAGGTGTAAAATTTCTCAACAAAGCTGGGCAGTGGTGCCACACACCTTTAATCCTTGCACTCAGGAGACAAAGGCAGGTGGATCTCCATGAGTTTGAGGCCCAGCATGGTCTACAGACTGAGTTTCAGGACAATCAGGGCTTTTACACAAAGAAAGCCTATCTCGAAAAACCAAACACCAAACAAACAAATAAATAATCTCAAAAAATATTTGCAAATCAAACTCAGGACTACATTGAGAATACCATAGATAATTTTACACAACAATTCAGAAAATGGGAAGACACAAAAAAATATAGTCCTAGTTCCTAGTGAACCTCAACCAAGTGAGTTCACCATAAATACACATATTTTAATAAAGAAAAGTTTTCTGTTTCTTGTTAATTTTTTATAACAATATATACATGTTTTGTCTGTGTGATGGCTACTCTTGGTTATTAAATGGAGTACATCTGGAATTAACTAAAATTCAAAAAATGGAAGGCACACCTGTGAGGGATTTTTGCTTAAAAAGAAGGAAGATCCTCTTCTAATCCAGATATTGAGATGGAAAGACATATCTTTCTTTAGTGCAGATCTTTTGAGCTGGGAAACCCACCTCTAATCTGGACATGCCTTCTGCTCGAAGCCTATCGGGACACGGAAGAAGGAAGCTTTTCCTCAAGTCCACTCCTTTACTGCCATTAGAGCCTACTTTTTTTGGGATTCTAGCATATCTTGAAGACCAGCTGAGACATCCAAACTCATGGACTGAGTAACTACTGGATTCTTGGACTTTCTCTTCAAGCCAGCCATTGTTGGTTTAGCTGGACAGCAGCCTGGAAGGCATTCTAATAAATCCCTTTGTCTGTCTGTCTATCATCTTTCTCCATTTAGATAAATCTATATCTACATCTATTACAAATACAGTTTGTATGGAGTATGTGCACTTGAGAGCAGGCATGCAAGATGCCATAAATGAGTATCAGAACCCCTGGGGATGGACTTACAGGCAGTTATGAGCTGCCCTCCAAGGGCACTTAGAGCCCCAAATAATAAATTACAATACAACCCCTATGCCTAAGGCTCAGGGAAAACCATAGAATAGGAAGCAGAAAGATTCTAAGAGCCAAACAACCAGGAACCCTGCTACTAGATAGTATCTTATAGACATGACACAGAAGCTGCATCCAACAAAAGTGCTGCATGAACAAGATCTGCATAGTGACAAAGCCAGCTAACACACCAACATGTAAATAAGAAATCTCATATATCTTCACTCCTAGATGAAGAGCTACAGTGTAGTGATATATTATTTTTGGATTTTTTGAAGCTTGCCTGAGGATTCAGAAAGCAAAGTCAGCCTCAAGTTATAGAGATCAGGCAGTTGTGATACACACCGTTAATCCCAGCAGCCAGAAGGTAGGAGGTGGTGGTACATACCTTTAATCCTAGGACTCAGAAGTAAGAAGTAGATGGATCTCTGTGAGTTCAAGGCCACCCAGAACTACACAAGAGTGAAATCAATCTAAAAAAGAATTATAGCTCACACCTTTAATCCCAACATTAGGGAAGTATGTAAGACAGAAGCAAGGTCTCAGAGAGGCATTCAGTCTCCAACTACGCTTAGGTAGCTGTCTGAGACTTGGTGAAGAGCTCATGTGGATCAGCCCTTTCAACCTGAGGTAGAGCCAAGAAGCTAGAGGCTGTCTGCTTTGCTCTTCTGATATTTGAACCCCAATATCAATCTCTGATCTTTTATTTTTCATGTCACACTACAGTCAATCAATGGCTATTGAGAAGGGAGCATCACTTTTCTCCAGAGACGTGCTTCAATTCCAAATGACCAGCACTATGTATATAGGAGCAATACTAAATGGGCTTAGCAGGTTTAACACACACAGACACACACATGAATAATAACTAATAAATATTAATAATAATATTGATAATCTTGATAAATATGTAATATAGTAAAATAACCTCTGAAGTCATCAATTCATATTACCCACACTGAGCTTCACAAGACAAGCCCTATCAACAGTCAAACAAGGAACGGGCCCTTACTCTTTACCACTAACTATTGGCTACTGGTAAATTCTGGGATAGAATAAATCACTGTCTTTACTTATGAATCCACTACTAAGCACACCAAGTTCCAAAAGACAGCTCCAAATACATGGCCACACAGACAGCCCTGGTTAAACTCAGTGACTCACAAAGCAAATCCAAGAGACTCGAATGTGAGAGAGACTGGTAGAGAAGATGTGTGTGTGTGTGTGTGTGTGTGTGTGTGTGCGCGCGCGCATGCGTGCGTGCGTGCACGTGCACGCGTGTGCAGAGGTGTCTAAGAGCAAATTTAATTAAGATTCAACCCATTCTATTTCCAAGTGCACAACCTTCAACAAATCTTTAAACTGTTTTATCATCTATATAAAATGGAATGAACAGTATTACTAACTTTACTATACTGTCAAAAAAGATGCCTTGAATAAAACTATAACGCTCCTTGTGTGTGTGTGTGTGTGTGTGTGTGTGTGTGTGTGTGTAACGAGAGAGATAGATATTACATAAAAAAAAAATGTACTGAATAAATGTTATATAGTAGAAACCTTGGATATAGTCAGAATTAAATACATAAAGACATGTTAAATTTCCCTGTCCTCAAACATGCTTTACTCTGTAATGCAGTTCTTTCATGATAAAATTTAGCATATTAATTTCTGAATCCAAAGTTAAATGTGCATTTATATCCCAAAAAATTCTTGACATTTATTACCTGGGTCTCCACACCTTGCTCCAGCAGACGTTTAGCTTGGTTTTCCACTTCAAGTCGTGCTCTTGCAATAAAGAGTAGATCATTTTCTATTACTTCTATTCCAGAAAGATCTATTCCTTGAGAAAGATAATCTATTTAAAAAAAAATAATAGTCAATATTAAAAAATAACAGAATCAAAACAATATGTATAACTTTTCAAAACCACTATGGATTTGCTGTTGAAAACAGTTCCTTCTTTAAAAATCTATATTTTAAAACATAACAACTCCCAAATATCTCCTATTTAATAATGTACCTCTGAAGTTGAATGTCTTAAGTAAAATAAGTCAATGATAAAAAAAAAAAAAATACTGTTAAGTTCAGCCAGGTGGTGGTAGTACACACATTTAATCCCAGTGCCCTGGAGGGAGAGACAGAGGCAGGTGTAATCTCTGGTTCAGGGCCAGCCTGGTCTATAGAGCAAGTTCCAGGACACCAGGGCAATAGAGAAGCCCTGAATCAAAAACAACAACAACAAAAAAAACAAAACAACAACAACAACAAAAATACACACACACACACACACACACACACACACACACACACATATTGTACGTGCAAAGAAATGTCAACAAATTAAAGAATGTCTTTTTTCCAGAAAAGTTTTGTTTGCTATGTAGGCCAGTGTTTCTTAGAATTCACAAATATAACCCAGGCAGGCCTGAAATTCACAAACCTTCTTCCTCTGCTCCCCATGCTGGGATTGCATGTCTGAGCAACAGGCCCAGATTCTATTTTAATTCAAATAAATATCCTAATAGTTGCAGACATTTCTCAAAGTCTACCTACAGCCTCAAAAATGATTCTGTAATGGCAAAGCATTTGAAACAAATGTTTTTAGAGAAAATAGTTAATAATTCACAAATAAACCCTTGCATTTTGCCATTTATGTGATTGTACTGACTGACATTAGCAACATTGTTACCAAATTGAAAAAAAAACTGGAATAATTATTATACACAAATTTTCACAATAATAAGAATAATTGTGAGATTACAGGATCAGGTAAGAGTGTTTGATCAGTAAAAGTGCATACTGTCACATCCCCTGTACTCACAAAACTGGGTATGGTGGCACATTGTACTTCAATCACAGTGTGTTCTTTTTCATTGTGTAGGTTGAAAAGGGTCATAATAAGGCTTACCACAATGAAAACTTGCTAAAAATGCTTTCCAATCATTTAAACTTAATTTTGCCTGGAACTTACTAGGTAATTACAGACAAGTAAAACTCACTGAGCTTCAGGGAGTTTTAGATGCAAAATGGTAACAATACATAACATATGCTCTAAATAATCTGTAGACTACCATGAAAACCAGATGAATGTCAAACCATGTTATACACCATTGTGTTCAGTAGATGCAATACAAATTTTAAACTTAGGAAGTAAAAGCAATCTTTTCTTTGTTTACTCATTACCAGCATGCTGAGTATGTAACCCAGGATCTTTCGCATACTCACATAAGCATCTATCTGTCCTAAAAGTTTCCACAAGGTTCTGAGGAACAGCTTGAGATTCAAAAGGCAGACAATATTACTCCTGCAATTTGCTAGCTGGGAATACAAGCATGGAACTGAATTTAGCCAAGTTGGGATAATGGTAATATTAAATACTGATATTCTAAATTTAGTAAGAAAAGTAAACTACTAAAAACTTAAGAAATGCCTCTCTTAGGTGTAAGAATTCAGGCATAATGCTTGCCTGCCCCTGTCACCTGGTAGAATGCACTCAAGCAGTATCCTGGTCAGCACAGGATTCCATGATTGTGTGGTCTGCACCCAGGTGCAAAGGATCCCTTTAAAAGACAGACCCCACCCACTTATGCTCTTCTTCTCTCTTCCCTTCTCTCTTTCTCACTGTTCCTCTGGGGCAGATAGGACTTTTCTGTCTCCTTCTTCTGCCCTCTCTCTATCAATGTGTCTCTTTACCTCTTTTCTCTTTCCTCCCCAATCCCTAATAAAACTTGTCACTGAGCTCTGTCTGCCTGGCATGTTTGTGTCCCAGTCTGTCCATGCCCCTCCACCATTGGCCTTGTTCACCCTTGTCTGCCATGGAATCCACCATTCCCCTGAGCTATCATAACATTAGGGTCCTCCTTGTTTCCTAGTTTCTCTGGCGGTGTGGACTATAGGCTGGTGATCCTTTGCTCTATGTCTAATATCCACTCCACTTATGAGTGATTATATACATTGTTTGTCTTTCTGTGTCTGTGTTACCTCACTCAGGATGTTTTTTTTTTCTGGTTCCATCCATTTGCCTGGGAATTTCAAGATGCCATTGTTTTTTACCGCTGAGTAGTACTCCATTGTGTAAATGTACCACATTTTTTTTTTTTTTTTTTTTTATCCATTCTTTGGTTGAGGGGCATCTAGGTTGCTTTCAGGTTCTGGCTATTCTATTTGAACTCACATAGGTTTGTACATGTGCATGTACATGTGTGTGTATGTATGTAAGTAGACATGTACAGGAATGCTCAGTGTAACATTATTGAGAATGAAGCTGAAAACCCACTGCTGTGGAATAATCCTTCTGTACACTGTGTGACTACATGTCACTATGATTGGTTTAATAAACAAGCTGACTGGCCAATAGCTAAACAGGATAAAACTAGGTGGGAAAGAAAACTGAAAATGAGGGAAGGAGGAAAGGAGGAGGCAGAGGAGTTGGCAGGAGTCATGTGACAGAAGGTATATTAATAGAAATGGTTAAGTTCTATGAACTAGTTAGTAATAAGCCTGAGCCATCAGCTGAGCATTTATAAGTAAATATAAGCCACAGTGTGAAGCAGCTGATAGGACAGGAAAACTCCACCTACTCCTACACCGTCAAAATAACAGACAAATAAAAGCATAATAATTTAAAATAGTGCTAGAGATAAAATGAAGTGTTTGCTTAAAAATATCTTTTTAAATTTTTGCTTTTTGCTTTCTCCCCCTCCCCCTTTTTCCTGAAACAGGGTTTCTCTGTGTAACAGCCCTGGGTGTCCTAGAACTTGCTCTGTAGGCCAGGCTGGCCTTGAATTCACAGAGATTCACTTGCCTCTGCCTCCCAAGTGCTGTGATTAAACATGTGTGCCTCCATCGAGGTAAAATATATCTTATATCAGCTTGAATATAAGCAAATTATAGGCATATGTTTATCAGTATCAATGGTCCAACACAATGATAAAGATTTCACAGAATAAACATGTCAAGGATTGATTCTTGGTGTTTTAAAAAATGTAAGACTTAATATATTATCCGACATACAAGATTGGTGACAAGAAGTTAATAAATTTGGTATGCAGTATTTGTTTAGGCATTTTAATATTTCTGGCATTTTAATACTTTTCTTTTAAGTACTATAGCATAACTGGTTAAGTACATTCAAGTAGTTAGAACTGTATTTCATTCATTCAAAAACCAAAGGCTGAATCCATTAAGCTAAGTCCCAAGTAAGATAGACTGGAGCAGTGCACCCAGAGAAAGGTGTATATGGTCTGGCTGGCATCAGCAGATTCTCTCACACTGTAAGAAGGAAATTATCACCTTACAAGGGAAGGTCCAGTGCAAAGGTATAAACTGCCAACTAGATAAAGCCTTTAGAAATAATGTGCTCATCAAGAAATTTTCTGCAGCCACAGATCTATTAAAAAAAGAAATTACATAATACCATAATATAGAGGCAACCACTGTGGAGCAGATGAGTGGATTTGCATGGATCTGATTGAATCCCCACATTCTCAACCAGCACAAAAATAGCACAGAGCCTCCCCTGGGTGTTTATGTGAGAAAAATCACATCAAACACTGATGTAGTGACTGGGCAGCTGGCTAGAGTCATCAATCAACACAAGTTGCTTCCTCCTACACATTTACTTTTCAAAGAGCACCATTCAAATGCATGCCTCAGAAAACACACAGACAACTTCCATTTGCTACCAAAGATATAACATATAGACTGAGCATTCTCTTCTAAAGTTCAGCCTCTTTTTTAACCCACCTGTGCATTATTTTGTTCATATATTTACTTTTGACAGTGGTATTGGTACAGGAGACAGAACTACCTCCAGAAAAAAAAACATTTTATACTGTAACAGTACAAGCATTTACCCACCGCACTACTGTCCACACAAACACCAGACATTTCCCCCAATAGTTTATCACATGAATAAAAAAAAAATTACTCAGCCTTCTGCATAAGACAGAATATTGGCTATCATAAGCAACTACTCTAAACATCTTCAAATGTAAAATATTAAATATCTAGAATTATTTCTGTGACAAATTTACAAAAAAAGGAATTGTTTGTTTCACAGGGGAAGAATTAAAGCAATATCCATGCAAAGAAGCACTTTTAAGTTATTTGATACAAATTATCAAATTATACTTTTATAAATTATCTAAATAGCCTTTACAGCAGCTATTGGATTATATATATTTTTCATTCCAATAAACATGTCATGTCTAACCACATACAACACAGTATTACCAGTGTTTAAAAATTGCATAGGCTGGCCTAAGAAAATAAATGTTTATATGATTATGATACAAACTTTAAGTGATGAACTAAATATCATTAATTACGTTTTGTCTTGAGTATGATAAATTTTATTTCCTTTGCTTATATCACTTTTTCTCAATTATAACTGTTTATTACATTTGCTTTGATTATTTTCCCAATCTATTTTTAATTTAGTTGTATTTTCTATATTATTTCCTAAAGCCATTATTGGAACACAATAGTAAATTATCTAATTAGTTCTACATTAGATTTTTTTCAAATACCTAATTAAGAAACTCAGTCATGGGGTTCTGGAGAGTTGGCTCAGCAGTTGTTGTTCTTGCAGAGGACTAAGGTTCAGTTCCCAACACCCACATGGTGGCTCACAACTATCCATAGTTCCAGTCCAAGGGGATCCAGTTCACTTTTCTGACCAGAAGCACCAGGCAAGCAATTAGTACACTTACATACATGCAACCATAACACCATACACATAAAATAATAAACTAAATCTTAAAAGTAAAAAAAAAAAAAAAAGAAAAAGAAAAAACCTCAGGCTTGGGTCAGTAAGGTATCTACGCAGGTAAAAGCACTTGTTGCCTGATGACT